CCCCCCCCAAGCACCAAGAAGACAGAGCATCCCTTGCCCCAGAGTCCCTCTCTATACCTTGTGGCTAAGAGCCACTGATGGACCTCTGCTCCATATGTTTACCCATAAGAACATAAGAGAAGCCAATGTTGGATCAGGCCAAGGGCCCATCCGGTCCAACACTCTGTCACACGGTGGCCAAAAATACCAGGTGCCATCAGGAGGTCCAGCAGTGGGGCCAGGACTCTAGAAGCCCTCCCACTGTTGACCCCCCCAAAGCACCAAGGAGACAGAGCATCCCTTGCCCCAGAGCCCCTATCTGTACCTTGTGGCTAATAGCCACGGATAGACCTCTGCTCCAGATGCTTCTCTAATTCCCTTTTAAAGCCGTCCATGCTTGTAGCCGCCGCCACCTCCTGTGGCAGTGAATTCCATGTGTTGATCACTCTTTGGGTGAAGAAGTACTTCCTTTTATCCGTTCTAACCCGACCGCTCAGCAATTTCATGGAGTGCCCACGAGCTCTTGTATTGTGAGAAAGGGAGAACTTCCCAACAAAGCGGTTCCTCGGTGGGACAGGCTTCCTCGGGAGGTGGTGGGCTCTCCTTCTTTGGAGGTTTCTGTGCAGAGGCTAGATGGCCGTCTGACTGCAATGCTGATTCTGTGACTCTCTATGAATTTAGGTGGATCGTGACAGGGAGGGGAGGAAAGGGTGAACAAGTGCTCAGTTCTTGTGGCCCTTTCTTCTGTGCCCAGGGCAATGCTGATCATGACTTTGGGGTCAAGAAGGAAATTTCCTCCAGGCCAGATTGGCCCCCGGGGATCCTGGAGTATTCTTGCCTTCCTCTGGGCATGGAGCCAGGGGGGGTCACTGGGGGAGTGGGGGGGAGCTGTGAAATTCCTGCATTGTGCAGGGGGTTGGACTAGATGACCCTTGAGTACCAGCTCTGTGTTTCTGTTAAATGATTTGATTGTTCGCAATGAATGCGTTTTGATCTGCATAATTTTATGCTGCTTTGTTAGTCACAGGGAGGGACACAGAGGTATATGGGCCATGGAGGCCTTGCCCTTTGCCACTGGAAGCCTTAGTCATCTACTTCTCT